AGTCTTAACTTTCCATACTCACACCTACCATGCAAGGGCCCTCACGTAAGTCCTAGGGCTTGGTAGGCACATTCAGGTGAGTCCCCTGCCCGCAATCTCCCAGAAGTTCATGATGAGAAAGCCAGCGTGCAGGGCACTGGGCATCATGAACTGTTCACCAGAATGAAAACGCAGAAGCTACTTTGTGGTACAGAGTGGGAGTGTGTAGCCCCTTCTTGCAGTTCTTGTTTTGCATCAGATCTCATAAAGGCTTCTGGAAATTTCCTGGGCAGTTGTCAGCTTTGAATTAGAGGTAGACTAAGGCATCTTCAGATTGGTGAGATCTCAGAGGACAGATGTCTTCATGACAAAGACATCTGCCTCATCTTTGCCAGACTGGAACATTCTCAGGTGTCGCTTCCTGTTCTTCTGTGTCACTACTTTAGAGAGGTTTCAGAAACTGATTACAGGCTCATGAATGTCCACTGGTCCCTGAACCCTTGCTTTACACCTCTAGGACCAGCTGAATAGATTAGCTTATTGATATGGTCACATGATCAGGTCTGAAAAAATAGGGAAATCATGGACAAGGAAGTCTAGAGAGATCGAGGACAGCCAGAGCAGAGCCCTAGATCTTCAGGTCCACCCCTGTGACAGACAAGAAGCTCCTGACTTTTTCATTTTTCCCACACCCATTGGAAGAGGGATGTAGATGACGGCCATCGTGAGCCTTCCTCTTGCCTCTCGTTGCCCCTTTTTTACCCTTCTAATGGACTGGGATGACTTGTTCAGTGGCCTGCAGCAGTGTCTTCTCTGGATTTCAAACCTCCAATCTCCACTCCAACATGAGTGCAGCCAGACAGGTGGTGTGGCACCCTTCCACTTGGATCAATACCATTGCCTTCGTGAGGACTGGAGAAGGTACTCTGGGGTAGCTAAGATCAGGAAGGGAGAGATCTGGGCCCCTTAACACCCAATGTGCCCAGCAACTTTCTCCCACTTTCCTCACTGAAACAGCCCTGCAGCTATACAACCAGCATTCCTCAGCTGTGTCTTGGATTTTGGTCTAGGAGGGCTACAGCACAGGTCCTGTTACAATAAAGACTCACTTTGTGTTCATGTAAAATTGCTTGTGACTCATTTCTCAGGTAGTGTGGGCTCCAACAGTCCCATAAATCTACTTGAGATTTTTATCCTGAGTAGTATGGACACATAGTCACTTTAAAAAGAGAGAGAGCCACAGAGAGAGAGAGAGGAAACACTCAGAGCTGTTGGCACCAAACAGCTGCGAAGACCCCAGCCAATGAAGACCAGTGGCAAAGACCAGTGTCTAATAGCATAAACCTACTAGATCAGGCACAAGTCAGCATCAGACAGTGGCAGCAGTGACCAGCAGCTGTCTGTGCCAACCACTGGCATCCACAGTTGTCTGTGCCAAACATTACCTCATGTCATTTGGTGACATCAAGACTGCTCGCAGAGCTGAGCTTTGCTGATTCATAATTGCCATCTGAATTGAGCAAAGGAACCCTGAGCTAACTGGCAACACCTCTTCTTCTCACCCAGTTTTAGATGGCCCCGGCACAGTGACCAGTGTATCCCCCAGGGATCTCACCACAGAAAGGGGCCAAGGTTGGGTCAACTCTTGTTCCATGGCCAAAGCTGTATCCAAACCCAGGAGTAGCCTTGACTTGGTCCAAAGCTGCAGAGAAGGTCTCCCAAGTAGGTCTAGTTCACTTCTTCTCTATCTCTCAGTTTTCTGACTCAGTTCCATAGCTCTTCTACAGGTAAGTGAGGACCCCGGTGTAAGGCCACTGCCACCTTCTGACTCAAGACATCCTACAAATGTTGTCTGCTCTACTATGAGACCTTCAAGCCACCCTGTAAACAGAAGCAGTTCTCACAAATCTCGGCAGCAATTCTCACACTGACATACACACAAATCCCTTTCACATGCGTACACGGCCATTTGGAGGCATCTTTAAAGGGCGTGGTGCCAAGAGGGTCACAGTGATGGAGCAGACCTGTTCTCTGCCCGCTGAAGGTCTTAGTCCAATAGAAGAACTTGCATTCAATAACTTGTGACAGTCAGGCTTTGGGAACCTGGGAAGGGCCCAGGTCTCTGCGAGAGTACAAAAGAGGGAGATGCCTCCTGGTTGGAGAACTCAAGAAAGAAGAACCACCAAAGAGGAGAGACTGTGCTAAGTCTTGAAAGAAAGATATCTCATCTTGAGGTCTGGGGAAAAAATATTAGGAGAAGGCACTCTACCAGGATGAGAAGACTAAGAACCAAAAGTAAGAACGTGAGAAAAGATAGGACATATTCAGAAAGCACCAACTAGACAAAATTCACTAGCCAGAGCACGTGAAAAGGAGACATGCAAGGCAATATCACATAAGAAATGGCTTAATTGAAGAAAAGACTAAATCTCAGAAGACCCTAAATGTCACACTGCAAGTTTGTACTTTGTTCTTGAAGCAATACGGAGTTTGAACATGATCAGGACCAAGGAGCAGAGGAGTCCGGGGAGCCTGAGTAACCTTCATCACCAAAGAAAGAAATGCAGACCTGTCAAATCGAAGGCAGAAAATACAGAATTTCCGTCTCAGAGGATAAAAACTGTCCTTTTTTTTAAAGCACTGCACAACCCCTGCCCATCAGCTTTCCCTCTTCTCTTTAACTCTTCAGACTCCCTTCCCTGCTGCTTTTTTCTCTTTAGACTACAAATAGCTAAGTCTATCATTTATGTTTAGAAAATCAAATTCATATAAACTTTCCAGCCCCTTCTTCACAGGCAAGCTTCTAAAACTGACAGCGAGCTTCCTAAAGTGGATGATTGTGGGCACACTTCATTTTTAAACCACAGGGTATTCCTAATATGATCCATCAGGGGTGGGAATAAAATATTCAGATCTTAACTTTTGTTTGTTTTATCTAAAAATATGCAAGTAAAATCATGTTTTACTAATTCACTAAAACTCTGCCATAACTCACAAGCAGAATCCAAAAGAAATTCATTCATGCAAAATTCAGACTAGTGCTCTTCACTAAAATCAGCATCCAAAGGGTAGTTTATACAGGTGAAAAGGTGTGTCACTTGCAAAGAACACCAGCAAATTTCTTAACAGCCCCAAGAGAAGTCAGAAGGCAACAGAAAATTATTTTCAAAGATCTGATCATTGTCTACTTAGAATTCTATACCTTGCTAAGTTATCACTGAAGAATGCAATGAGATTGAAAGAAATTTTCACTAACTGGCCTTCACTGAAAGAATAACTTCCTTCTTTCAAACATAATAAATAAAAATGAAGAAAAAGAATTCTCCCAATGTCCCCAAAGTTTATAAAAATTTAAAACTGAGTAAGTGAGAGGTAAGAAATGAGCAGAGAGAGAACTAAAGAAATAGGAATCTGGGGGCATGGAAGCCAAGCTGTCAGAGTTTTCAATCATTTCAAAACCAGAAAAGTCAGAATCTGGTACTTGGAGGGATTTAATGACAGTGCTGGGAGTGGAAAGACGTGGTGGAAGGGTGGGCGGGGGCTGAGGAAGCGTGGCAGAATGTGCCCAGAAATCGCCCAATATGCTCATCAGATCAAGTTTTTAATCATGTCACTCAAATCTTTCACATCTTTACTAATTTTAGTTTTCATCAATTTGTTCATTATTGAGAGAGGAGCTTTCTTCTTGTATTGGGGCTAGGAAGGAATTTGCTGATACTCACTCTGCAAAACTTCCTCGTAGATAGTAGTAACATAAATAATAAAAACTTGTGATGAATTTGGGGTCATAAAAATCAATATGGAACCAAAAATATTGGGCAAAAGAAACTTGTAATATGAAATTGCTAAGCTTTCTAAACTCTTTATTTCATTCATGAGGATTACAGGGCTGTTGATGAACTTTGCTGGGTAAAGTATACACAAAGTAGTTTTTAAGCTAATCATTTAAAATGAGAAATAAATTTGTAACCTTCAAGAAATAAGGAAATACAAGATAAAAGAAAAAAATTTTAAATGTTATGCATAGATGGAAAAGAGAATAATCAAAGCAAAAAAAGAAAAAGCCAAACATCAGTTATCACAGAAAATTAAACCCAGATTATCATAGTAGATAAAAACTAAATCTAGTTTTATGCTGTTCATAAGAGGCAAATTCAAAACAAAAGTAATCATTGTATGTTAAAAGGTGGGAAAAGATAAAACCAAATAAATACCAGCCAAAAGAAGCCATACAAAATAGTTTAACATGGAGAGTATTTACTAGAGACAAAGATAGTTGCTATCAAAAAATTTTAAAAAACACTTTTCTAAGAAGATGTAACTGTTTGCACCTATTAATAAAATCCGCAAAATATACAACACAAAGATGAGAATTGCCATGCAAAACTGAGAAATCAACGATCGCAATGGGGAACTTCAGTACCTCTCTCAGTAGCTAACAAATTAATGAGAACAGGAATCAGTGAGGATACAGAAGATTTGAACGGCATGATTAAAAACTTGATTTAATGAACACGCTGAGAGAGCTTTCGAGCCACAGCCCGGGTGCTCATCTCTGTCGCTCTTTAACCAAGCGCCTCCGCCCACAGCACCCCTTTGCAATGACGTCCCCAGTATCAAAGTCTTATTTTCCTGCTTTTAAATAAATGGAAACTCTTTGACAGTTGGGCTTTCACTCCCCACACACTCAGTTTCTCTTCGGGGATTTGACTGCATCTGCTAGTTCTCTATTCTCAACTGTTCCCACCCTGATCCACACACCACCCGCACAGCCGGGTCTCGCACAGTGGATCTGTATCAGCCGAGCAAGGCTAAGTGGTGAGGGTTTACTGGGCACAAATGCTAACACTTGGTGAGCACCCTATGACGGCCAGGGCGTGGCGATGGACAGAGGGTGAGAGGCCCAGAATGGCGACAGCCTCACTCTGACTCAGGATGGGGACCTGGTGTGCACTACTCACCGTTCCAGTGTGCTCAGTGCCTGACTTCGGAGAGGTATTTAGCAGGAATGTGCTACTTACCTGAGCTGCAGCTGAGCTTTGCATGATCTCTAGAGAGCTTGAGAAACACAGGCTGCTGGGAGATGAAAAGCTGTCTTCAGTCTCTGAACTTCATCAAGGGTTTCTGACTCAAGCCGGGGAGCTCTAGCCCAAACAATGGCCAAGACTACAATCAAGAAGCAAATATACCCCTCTCCCATTAACAGATCTCTTCAATGTCACGTTTACTGCATTGTAAAACCAGAGCACCGCCTTAAATCATAAAACACTGCATCCCTTCTCAGTTTTCCCTGTGGTCCTCTTCTTGTCTCTCAGGTGCAAAATCTCTTCCCTCCACCACACGCCTAGCCCTAAAGATGCCATCAGTCCCCAAAAGAGACAGGGCGTAGGCACCCTTGGCATCGGTGACTGCGGATCAGTGAAAGCAGTCTCCTGGCGAAGGAATGGCCATTTTCACAGTCATTCCGTAAGTACACAAGCCAAACCCCAAGCTGCTAAGAAATCTGTCTTCTGTCCTTCCACATTCCCGCTGCAATAGAAGTTCATTTTCTCATCATAGACTGTAAATTACAGGCTGAAAAGGTGGGTCGCGTCTGACTCCAGCCTATAAATAGCTGGTCTTCTTTCTCTTCCTCAAGAGGGGCCATTCTCAATAACGACTTAGCTCAATGTATACTGGCAGAGGGACAAAATTGCTAGAACAGAAATCAAATCTCCCTCCAGTGAGCCCCGGGGCAGAACCTGAAGTTCTTCATGCTTGCACATTAGAGAAGCAAGCCCCTGCCCAGCGCACACATATTTTTTTCTACGAGGCAACATCTGGGTAAATCCACTTCTCGTCTCTCTTCATCTCTCTTATGCACCCCTTCTGCAAATAGCTCCCAGCACTGCCCCGGCATCTTGTAAAATAAAAATCAAAGCTGAGCAAATAATTTAAGACTCATGTTTAAACCTTTCCCAGGTCCCTGAATTCATCGCCTCTTAAAGTGAAAATACCTATGCCAGAGGCTCCTTACGTAGCTCCCCCTCCCACCAAGAAAAGAATCTTGTTTAGCGTTTAAGGAGCTCCTCACAGCTCCCACACAAGTCAGTTTTTAATCAATCCACAATATTATTCACTGCCAGCCCCATGCCTGACACTAAATAGAAGTCAAGGTGAATAAAAACTATGACTTTGCCCTCAAGGAACACATCGTCCAGTGGGTGTAGACACAACACACCAGTGAAACAGCAGAGCGCAGGAGAAAGCTGGGATTAAGTGTTCAACCAAGTGGAACAGATGGGAGTGTGTCTTCGACAAAGACAGAAGGCTGCATGGGGTGGTGGGATGGAGCTGGCGGGTTTCCGTGAGACAGAGAAGATTAAAGGAAGCACCAAGAGCCAGGAAAAGAGCACATAAAAATGCAAGAAAGCAACATAAAAATCCTACTTGAGAAGATGCGTCACCTGCAAAAGAATTGTATAGAAACTGTTAGGGGATGGCTGTGCCCCCCCCCCCCACACACACACACACACACTTCTTAAGTCAAAGTCTTAATGTCCAGCACCTCAGAGGATCACCTCATTTGGAGATAGTACCTTTAAAGAAGTCATCGAGGTCACAGGAGGCCATGTGGGTGTATCCAAACCCAACATGACTGGTGTCTTTATAAAAAGAGCTTTGGACCAGACACACACAAAAGAAAGGCCATGCAAGGGCACAGAGAGAAGATGGCCATCTGTGAGCCAGGGACAGTGGTGTCAAAGGAAACCGACCCACCAACACCCACGTCTTAGACTCCCTGACCCCAAGACTGTGAGAAAATAAATTTCTGTTACTTAACCTGCTCAGTGTATGGGGCTTTGCTATGGTGACCCTAGTAAATTCAAACACTGGGCTCTCTTGCACAGAGGCCTCAGGCAGTCAAGGCTGTCCCAAAAGTCCAGACACAGGCTGTGGTGGCCTAAACTGAGGCAGAAGTTGGGAGAATGCAGACGCCAACCTGGATGGGAGAATTCAGAGGCTTCGCAGAACAGCTTGGGCACGGGTCTCCTGCAGAGGTGAAGGCAGGCAGAGTTAGGAACTCTCTGGAAGCTGAGGAAGAACTCCAGAGACGCAGGCTGACACTTCAGTTCCCGCCAGAGGCCTTCTCCACAGAAACGGCGCCCTCCCCTACCCCTTCCCAATACCCAGGTTCCAGGGTGCCTCCACACCACCTTCCGGCATCCAGGGCTCTGCCCGCTCCGGCCAGGGCAGCTGTTAGAAACAAGCCCTAGAACATCTTTTCGCACTTGCTGCAGCACTTTGAGTCAGCGGGGAGTCAGGGAAGAAATACTTCGGGGAGCAGCAGCCATGAAGAAACTCCGGCAAGCAGCATCTGATTCTTCATGCAGACTCGGGGACCCAGATTCCTCGGTTGCTGCGTTCTGAGAATCTCCACCGCAATGAGTAACCGCACCAAGCCCCAGACATCACAGCTCCTGCCAGAAGACCGGGGTCAGTCCATGTGTGCGTGACACCTGGAGGAAAGTACGCTCGGGGCGCCCCAACCTCGCAAGAGCTAATAGTGAGCACAGTGTCAGGGTGCTCGCTCTGGGAAGGTGCCTTTTAAATACTGATGTACTGTATTTCCCCATTCTCCAAACTCCACAGTGGCCGTGCAAACAGCACCGCCCATGCAGCACCACCTGCAGGTGGAGAAGAGCTACAGAGAACCAGAAAATCTCAAGCACTGGTGTGAACCTCTCCCTCACTACTGCTTTGTATAACTGGCTGTGGAAAACTGCTGGGCCATTCCTACTGTTACAGAGCGCGTGGAGACATAGGACCCAGCCCTTCCGTTCCCATTGTGTTTACACCCAACACAATGCGCCCATAAGTGCGCCAAGACATACACGGTCCCCGGACCACTGGGCCAGAAAACTCCCAAATTACATGGGAGCAGATAAGAGCAATAATACCCAGCAGGGCTAGGGACTCAGCTCAGTGGCATAAGCACCTGCCTGGCAAGTACAAGGTGATGAGTTTGATCTCTGGTACCAAAATAATAATAATAATAATAATACACAGCAATCTGAGGAATCACATGACAGTGAAAAATAGAAATTAAAAAAAATTTATGTAAAATAGTTACACAGTAGATTTAGAAGTGAGGCTCCAGACTGCCCTGTAGCCAGGAGGCAGGAGGGATGCTTCTCAGATGCTAGTACAGTCTGCTTCCTGAACTCAGTGCAGGCTGCATGGATACATTTACATTGAAAGTCAATCAAACATGCATTTGTGCAGTTTTATGTGTGTATGTGTGTTACATTTCAGCAAAAGGGCTTTACATATTAAAATCACATATAGTATGAAAGTTACTCTAGAGAGAACAGGGACCAAAGTAACTCTCCCAAGGTCAGAGTCAGGGTTTGAGCCCAAATCTGGACCTTGATAGTAGGAACTCAACCACCGTTAGATGGTGACATGACGCTGCTGGATGCCACCTCTTTACAGGTATCCTAACACACATGTCCTGCAATTGATTCTTGTGCAATTTCTGTAGATCCCTAAGCACAATGCTTGGTGTTTGCTAGGTGCCTGGTACATATCTTATGTGGAGTAAATCCCCCTGGGTACCCCTTCCAGTGACTGACATGATTTCTACAAGCAACAGCATGCCACCGTGTAAGAGCAGATCATAAGGACAGATGACTACATTTATTACATGGGCACTAGAAGTTAATCTTTGGGCCCAGAATCCACGTCTCACCCTCCCCACTGCAACCCTCCTAGAATCCTTGGGATGCAGCAGCGCAGCCCTGAATTTCCTCAGGGTCAAGCGCTTTGGTCTGCAGCTGATGATAGACTCTCTTTCCAGGAGTCCTGGAAAATCTATTTCATCCTGGCATTTAGAAAGATATCTCTAGGCCTCAGGGACTGACTCCAGGTCAGGAGGTTGCTTGAAGGATTTTGAACACAGAATATGGGTTGTAAAAGCCCCGTAGAAATCAAATTGGACAATCTTTTTCTCCAGAGAGGCAGGTTCCTGACTTCGGTCCACTCACTCACATCCTCAGGTCATTTGCAAGCCAGCAACTCCATGCCGCAGTACACCAAGGTAGATAAGACGGAGTCCACACCTCCCACACATGCAGAAGGTGCACAGGATCAGGTCTGGAAAACAGTGAACCTGACCACTGCGAGTCGGAGAGACGCCATGAGGCATTGGGGGATCCTGCACAATATGTGTTCTAGCAGGGTTGGCCACTTCCCATTGGCAATAATGCATCATCAGAGCATACGGGGGTTTTCATGAGGACTCACGAGAGAATATGGTCAGTCCAGCTGGTGCAGGGCAATCAAGGGAGGCCACATAGAGCCGACGCTCCCAGAGGCCTCTCGTGATGGGACATTTAAAGGGCACTGAGGCCAGGGTAGCTCAGCCTGGAGACCCGCCCACCTGCACTTTCCCCAGAAAACAGGGAAACCAGCACCCACATTTCTGCCCACTCACCAGAGACTCCAGCCTTAACAGCCCTGCTCTTCAGAAGGCACTGATGGCCCAGCCACTCACAGTCTCCCTCCCCCACTGTATACCTCCAAGCAGGCCTGGCCCTGCCGCCAGTGACTTGGCTCACAGATTCCCCCACCTTCCCTTACACTCTGACTGCAGAATCAGCCTGGCTTTCTGCTCAAGGCTGATACTGACCATCCCACACCCATATCCCACACTCCACACCCACACCGGCCTCCCCTGGCTCTGCCTAATCTCTTCTTCTCAGACTTCACAGGAGCTCTGTCCCCTCTGCTGCTGAGTCCCCAAGGCCTAGGGTTGACTACCCCATCATTTCCCCATGATCCAGAGAGGCTTCACAGCTGGACACAGCCCTGAGCGGATGCCATGCGTCTGGAGAACCTTCTCTCCCCTCCCCATTTCCCAGGGGAGAAAAAAATGGTGCCTGTCAGAAATGTGATAGAATTGTCAAAAGTACATCGAAGTGGCTGTGTACATTGTGATCCCTAAGTCACAGTTCCATTTGTTCTGTGACAGTGCAAAAATAACAGAATTTCCATCAAGATGGAAAATAAAAATGAAGAAAGCACTTCAACAGTATTTGAAAACAACGTCTAAACAAAAGTCCCTTTCATTCCTCCCTGGCAGTGTCTCAGTGGCACCCATACATGCTTTTTTCATACCTGGCACAGGTTGGAAGCAGGAGACCTCAGTCCCCTGCATCTGAGGACAGGTCCAGACAAGGTTCTGGTCCCTCAGCTCAGCTCTGTCTGTGCAGAGCCACAGGACATCAGCCCAGACAGACCCCAAGGCTCTGGTTAGAGGATTTTCACATTTAATTTGTACTGAAAGAAGGCTGGATGGGACACCCCTCTGGGAGCCACCCGAGGAGGAATTTTCCAAGAGATGATTGCCGGGTTCCCCGTGCTTCCATCCACTGCAGCCCTGACCATCCAGGGCTGCCCTTCCCCAGTTATCCTCACCATTCACCCCTCTACCACAGACCCCCACGCCCGAGCCACTTTCTCCCCGAGAGGAAAAAGCTGCTCAAGAAAGGCTTACTTGGTGACTTAGCAAATGAGTTAAAGCTGGTATGGAGCCATGCATAAGTAAACGCCAGGAGCACAGTGGGGTGAGAATATTTATCGTTAACTGATGTGTATTTGTATCAAAATAATACATAGCACACTGTCTAAATAAAACTTGCCTAGAACTAACAGGCAAAGACGGCAGCAGTGTCTTGCTGGACCTCTTCCCATCCATCAGGGCTGGCCTCAAAAGACAACCGCTGCTGTCTTTTCTACCTGTTTCTTATTCTATATGCCTGCAAATACCTGGATTTATTGATTTTAGACATCCACTGGTTTCCTATTACATTGCACCAGGATTTAATGCTCATATACCATCCAACCTTTATTTCTCTCTCATCCTCTCATTAAATTTACATAAGTTATTAGATCAATACTCTGTAATTTTATTTTGACGGTAGTTACGTTGTTTGTAAATATCCTTTGCTGCTAAGACAGATGGTAAGTAGGTCGTGAGGGGTGGATGACGTACTGAGGGCCTGATCCCTTCGTGCAGAGCTGCCAGCCAAGCCCTGCTTTCGGGGCTCCAGGTCGGCCCCGGCTTTCTTGAGGCCCTTCATCTCCGGCTCCTGAGCTCTTTCCAGAAGAGCAAACTAGTCTGCATCTCCCCGGCACCACCTCTGGCAGACACTTCAGTCCTAACTCCCCTGCTTAGCTAAATCAGCGGCCACTCCGTTCGGCTCCGGTTTTCCAAGTATTTGTCCTCACTCACCCACTGCTGTCTCTATGTGTGTTCTCTTTCTCTCCTAGCATTACAGCTGTTCACTCCTTTACTGTTATTTTAGTAGGAGTTGGAGAGAGGGAGAGAACAAAAGAAGAAAGGGAGGAAAAAGAAAAGAAAGAAAATGTGTATAATTGATTTACTTATGTTTGAATAAAATTCAACAACCTGTTAAGGAAAGGGGCTCCACATGGTCAGGGTAAAACTGTTCAAGTCTTTTTCAGGATAGCCCCATTGCCTTTTCAAGCTAGAGGGTTGGAGTAGACGCTGTGATATGCCGCCCAGATAGTCCTCCTCCTGCTACGACAGAAGCATTCATTCTCCCAGTGAAAAGGAGATCTCTGTGTTCTCAGAGATAAAATAGGTGTCCAACAGGATACTGCTTCATTATACAATTTTTTTTGTACCAGGAATCGAACTCATGACCTTGTGCTTGCCAAGCAGGCGCCATGCTGCTGGGCTATATCCCCAGCCCTATTGCTTCATTTATACAATGAAAAGAAGAAGACAAGGGTAGATGATAAGGAGGTCAAGAAAACGTCCTGAATAAAAGGACATGAATCCTTGACCAATTTCTCAGGCCCGCAAACTTGATCTAACTCTCACACAGTCCGTCGATCCTAACAATTCCCCCAAAAGAAAGGACAGGCCGGAAACCTGTGCCCAAAGGGGATTCCCAAACATTTCAAAGACTGTGGACCTGGTCCACGTTGACACTGGCCCACAGGGACCTGAAGTGACTCGTGAGTCCGCATTGGAACAGAAGGTGAGCACACAGATGAAGTCTGCAGCAGGCTCCACAGGGAGATGCCTGGCACGTTCCCCCGGGGCTCTGGAGCAAGGCCAGCCATCTCACCAGGGAACCGGTCCCATCCAGGAACAAAGCTCAGCGGCACAAGTGCCTGCCTGACAGCACACCCTCCTGAGTTCCATTCCCAGTACAAAAAAAAAAAAACAAAAACTAGTCCCTGTCAAGATGCTGGACTCCAGCTCACACAGAGAATGTGACCTGGAGCATCCAGAGGACCATAGGGCACAACTCTGTACCACGTAATGGGCTGTCAGACCCGTCAAGACATAAGCTCAGGTGGGCCCAGCAGCAATCCATAGCCAGCACAGAGCCACACAGGTGGGCTGAGTACATGGGGCATGAGGAAGCTGGATGAGCAGACGACTCAGTGCTCTGTCAGCCATCACTGCTGCACGGGTGGCTCCCATCAGCCCTCCTGAGGACTCCCTCATGACCTACAAATGGAGGCAGAAGGGCCTGAGGTCTGTGCGCACACAGGTCAGCTTGCTCTGCAGGTGACGAGTGCAAATGGATTGCCATGCGTTACATCTCCCCCCGGGGCAGCCCTCGCTCACAGCCAAACCCCCCTTGGCCCACATAGCAGAAAATAAGGGCAACTATCACCTTCTCAGCCACCATCAGCCTCCAGGTAACCAAACAAGGACTTCTTCAATTCCAAATGTTCAGACAGAAAACCAAGATGTACCCTGCCATGGAAAACAAACAAACATCATATTATCAAGAAGAAAAGACTCCTTAGCGGATGCTCATTCGATATTTCGGTTCCATTAGAATCTTAGGGAAAAGATCTGACGGCTTTACCAAATCCTCTAACAGCAAAAAACGGGGTTTGAATAAGGGCAAAAGGCACGAATTCACGCAAAGAAAGCACAGGAAATCTTGCCCTAACAGGGCAAAGAAGCCAAGCCCAGCAAGCAAGTAGGACCCGCCATCTTGGTGGCCTTGTGACATCTAACTGAAACGTTGTCGGCATGTCAGAGATCATCTTCGCACCACAAAGGAAAGGAGAAATCCACCAGGGTTTACATGCAGTCAGCCCTGTGTCTCCTCTCTACCGCTGTCAAAATCAGCCCTCTCCCTCTCTCAGAAATTCAGCATGAAATTTGTAGGGTCCTCACTCGCTTCCTCACCCCTACAAATGGCGCTTCCAAAAGGCCGGCCTGGTCCACCCTCTTCCGCACCTCAAACTATAATTCCGAAGCAGAAACTGGCTGAAGGCTCAAAACTCTCCTTACTTCTTCCCAGGCCTACACAGCTTTCCTAGTAGCTAGATTTGAGCCAAGTAACACGGGCTGTGGGCAGAAATTCAATATAGAAAGTCCCCACCCGTGGGAGATACATCCCAAAACCCTCAGCGTAGGCCTGGAATCAAGGGTAGTACCAAATTATATAGATGCTAGGCTTTCTCCTACCTACATTCATCTGGTAAAGTTTAACTTATAAATTAGACTCAGTAAATTATCAGTGACAATAACTCCTAATAAAACAATTATACAGCCTACTGTAACAGAAGTCACGTGCATGCATTCTTCTCTTCATCAAAACACCTGCTCCCACTGCACACAGACCTCTTCTTGAGGCGTTGTGTGACAGAGTGGCTCCATGATGAGTCCAGTGGGGTGATGGTGTAGGCGAATGTGCAGAGCTTTCCCCTGTCATTACTGGGAACCAGGTCACACATCTAATTAGTACACAGCCTAGAAGGCGTGGCTGGAAAGAAGCACAAGTTTTAAAAGGGACGAGAAGGACGCAAAGTTGGTAAAGCAATGCTTGGTTTGTCAGCAAAAATGAAAGAAAATAGAGAGAATCCAGAAATCAAGGCCTAGCTACTAGACCCTAAATAACATTTTAAAAGTGCTTTGAGCAGCTGAAGTCCTTCAAGACTTCAAGTCCTTCAAGTCCTTCAAGAAGGACTCCATCTCACAGCAAAAGTGAAAGATGTCCTCTTCTCCTCCAAGCTTACTGTTTTAGATACTCTCAAGACAGCAGCTATTAAATGAGACCGAGGCCTGATGGAAAACAAGTTCAAAAATGAAAACAGCCTGATCATTATGTTAGGTAAGAACTCCAGGTGAAGTTATGTCCACCTACAACTATATACAGGCAAATGAATCACAAAACTGTTGAGTCTTTTACAAAAGTCTGTTACCAAAGGAACTATAATACTGGTCTTGGGGAAAAAAAGCTGGGTGTATTGGTTCATGCCTATAATCTCAATACTACAGGAGGCTTCCTGAAGCAGGAGACTCCAAAGCTCAAGCCCAGCATGAACAACTAAACAATTTTATGAAACTCTGTCTCAGAATAAAATATTGTTTAAAAAAGGCTGGGGATATAACTCAGTGTGAAGATCCTAGGTTCAAACCCTAGAATTAAGAATAAAAAAAAAAAAAAACCTTCAATCCTTTCAACTTGCACCAAAAGAAGGAAGTAAAAGGGAAGAGACCACTACCCACTTCACATATCCCCAGAGAGGACGATGGACAGGGAAACTTCCAGAGCAAGGAGCCAGGGACCACAGGACGAGAGACAAGAGAGCCCCTCCCAGAGAATGGCACCAGGGTTAACTGAGAACTTCCCAGGCCAGTGGCTTCTGTCCTGCATCGTGACTGTAGGTTCAGCTGTGTCTAGGCCACCTCAGCTCAGCCACCCTCACCAGCTCAGTGTGCCAGAAGGCACACCTGGGCCATCAGTTCCTGAGTCACAGTGAGCCATGCCCAGACCGATGAGTCCAATTTCAGGAATCAGAACAAGATGCATGCGTTGGACTTCAAGAAGTGAGGATGGTCCAAGCATAGCAAGAAGGGGATGCACAGACTTCGGGCTTCTAGAGGACAGACTGTGGCAGGGACAGGTATCCACAATTCATTCTGCTGCTCCCACGAGGAACCATCACTGGAGACAGCCCCAGGCCAGGGATGAGCGCCTAGCTCCCACTCCGTTGCAGTGTGGCTACTCCTGCATGCAGACGTGCTTGTGCTCTCTTCTTACAGGAAGGTGCACAGAGGGAAGTGCATTACTTTCCAGCTGGGTTTTATTTGCAAGTGGCAGTTTTCACCTTTGCTCTCCTTTTCCCCTTCTGCCAGCTGGAAGCAGAAGACTCCAAGGTCTTGAGTACTGGTGGCAGCTAAAAGTAGAGGATACCTGGACCCTGGAACCCCCACTTGGAGTAACATCACCTTCCAGCCAGGAGCGCCGGAAGCAGACTGTTCCAGAGCTGAGCAGTAACCCTACTGCTCCAAGGCACTGACAGTTAGACAAGAGCCAGCATCGCCCTGACCAGCCTGCAGCAGGCTGTCTGAAGCAGCGTCTGTTCCCTCGTGTGGGCATTCAGGGCCTCTTGTTGATGGTTAGACTTTTTGCCAGCACAGTGGAAGGGACAGCATTCCATACAAACGATGACACCACCCACCTTCACGTGGCGTCATTGTTCAGCGGGTCAGTTACTTGCTCTCTTAAAGGCCATGAGTTTCCAGCATTATGTATGTGGCGACTGCATGATCTCCTGCACAGATATGTCAGGGGTAAGTCAGTAATTTACCACCTCTACACTGTCACACGACCCATGCTGTTCATCAGAGAGGACTGTCACGAAAGTTAATTTTTCACATTGTTTGATAGTCTGGACACTCACCAGTAAGAATCCACAATGCCTTTCCCAGTGTCCCAAAGGCACATCAGCTGAGAACCACTGATTCCGAGGCTGGAAATGCCTAAGCCCATAACATATAAACTCAGGCATCCCCGTGAGTCTCTCCGAGTCCAGGGAGACAGGGGCTCCACGCACAGTTTCAATCAGGGTAAGTCTAGCCTCCGCTTGCACAGAGATTTGACCTTCTGCAAAGGTCAAATTTGAGTCTATGGCTCCAGGTGAACAGGGACTGGAACCGCTGTTCCTATTTCAGAGTGTCCCTGGGGTGTGGGAGGGGAGTCACTGCCAAACCAACAGCTAGGAAGAGACAGCAGGCAGTCAGCAGTGGGGCGAGCACGAAATCAGTGAGCATCAAAAGATGCACAAAATGACTTCAGGCATAAATAACTAAATACTTACATTCGGAAAATCACACCAGCCAAAGAACTCACGCTAACATGACTTTACCTTCCAGCATATTCTTGCCCAGGGAGGTAAAATGTTCAAACCAGGAACTTGCTGAAAAATTAATCGGTTCTTGAATAGAAAGCATCCATTGGCAGTTTGTGCCCACAGAGCCTCAAGCCTTTCTCCTCAGACTCCCCGAAACACTTGGACTCGGCCTCTGATCCTAAACTGTCAGGTCATAGTTGCGCAGCCTGAATCCACCTTCCACACTGGAGGACTCACTGATGTCCAGATTCCATCCTATAATTATTCTAATTTTGCTCTTCTCCTAGGAAACGGGACAAGACCTTGTCAAGGTGGTGTACCTACTACAGTACCATGAGTCCTCTTAAAGCCCAGCACTGAAGCCTGTGAGGTGTTCGGAGGTGGCCGGGGATGACAGTGAACCCTAAAGCCTATAATGTCCTTGTAAGAAGAGACCAGAGAGCTTGCACGGGCACAAGGAAGAGCCGTCCCCAAACCTAGAAGAGGACTCGCAGCAGAGAAGATCTGCCGCCACCTTGATCTTGGACTTAACGAGCTTCCAAAACTGTAAGAAATAAATACTGATCAATGTGTGGTTTTACCTGCACATGGCGATATGCAGGGCACTCCTAGCACTCTGGGAGACTGAGGCACAAGGATCGCAAGGTACCAGCCTGGGCAGCTTAGCAACCTAGCAAGACGCTGTCTCAAAGTGAAACAAATAAAAAGTCTGGGGATGGCATTCAGTCCAAAGGCCCTGGGTTTGATCCCCAGTGCTGAATGTGTTTAGATACTCATTCTGCGCTTTGCTGTCTCAGCACCCAGAACTGATGTAGGCACAGGTAAGCGAGCAAACATGTCTGTCAACAGGTCACTGCATTACTATTCAGAGGACAGCATTTGGAAACACCTACAGATACACATCCTGGTATTGGATGTCTCACGGGGTGTCTCAGGAAAAGTGTCCTAACGTCTCTGTTCTCTCATAACAAATCCAGATGTACTACTTACACATATCTTGTGAGCTATTTCAGACAAGGCAGAGCATGACATACGGCAGGCCGAAGCAAAAAAAAATGTAGCTAGATGGATAGATTTATAATAATAACCTGTCAGCTACACAGACACTTGTATCATGAAGACCAGTCACTAAATCTTTTAAAGATTCTTGTAAGCATCATTACAAAACAGACACAAGCATTCACTCTGGTCAATTACGAAACAAAAACCATTTAGACGGGAAGCCAACATTAGGAAGAGAATTGAAAGACAGGAAATAAAAAAATTAAGAGTTACGTTAAAGTAAGAAATCTAGACTATCAGAGCTAGAGAGAGGGGATCCCTTTTGTGAACAGTTTTATAAACTGAGCAATCATTTTTCTCCCCCATGGCCAACATAGTGAAGCTAATGGTAACAGCATTAATTTATCATGAGGCTTTAAAGATCTCTCTTGTCAGGAATGAAATAAACACGTGACAGGATAGCCAGACAGTCATTGTTTATAGAAAGGTTATTATAATAATTAAGATTAATAGCCATTACTTGTCATGTTGGTGGAATTTTTTTTTCCTTGGGAAATAACTGTAGCCATATTAAATAACTAATTAACACATCTCTTTGTCTGGCTGGGAATGCATGGATTCACAAGATCCTCTGTGTTCTCTGGTGGGCCATAACCAAGTAAATAAATAAATAAATACACTATAAAATGATCAGCTCAAAATTAAACTCGTCGCTGGATGGTGGCAGGGCCGAGGGACGATGGACCCTCTCTCCCACTCCAGACCTCGCTAATCCGCTGATGATGACCAAGTACAGATCCCATGGCCTGTGTGTGTGTTTCTGTGGATGTTTACGCATAAGGATATATCTTAAGGTTTTTAATGTGTTTTATAACAACTTGAATAACTTTATCTCCATACAAAATGGGATTTTTTTTTAACTCCTCAGTTACGGCACTGTAAGAGAAATCTTAATGCCTTAAGTATTAAAGCCTCAAAGCTATTTTTATTGACCATTTTCCAGAGCGACATGAACACGGAGAGGAAAGGAATGCATCTTCATGTTACAGTTCTGTCTTTTTTTCAAGGGGGCCTTGCCATTTACACAGCTATCACTGAAAGAGAAAACGAGGGCCAAGAAACTCACCTTCCCTCACCCCAACGGCACTGCTGATCTCTTTCAGGAGACTCTGGGGTCAAGGGCAGTGTCTTCAGGAGGGACCCTAAAACCCCAGGACCTGGCAGCCCTCCTGGAGCTGTCCCTGGGAAGAAATAGAAAGTGTTCACAAAGAAAGATCAAGGGTGTTCCCTCCCAAACTCACCTCGCCCCCATCCCAGGCCCACAGCCAGGCGCAAGGCGGAGGATGAGCCTGGAGGCCAGACACAGAGCAGACCAGGGATCCAGGGAGGGTACCTTGGGTTCAGGGCAGGCTTTGCACCTCCTCACCCGGCCCCAGAACTCACCCTTAAGGTGCTTCTTTTGTGCTTTCCATCACGCACGCACCCGCACCCATCACCTGAAAAGCATATAGATTTCCACTTCCTCTGGAGCCCTCATTTTCAAACTGGTAAATTACCTTCATTCCAAAGAAAGTGTGTGTGTTTACAGACCACAGCGCTGCAGGAGGGAGGCAAGGTGGGAAGGTCCAGGGTATTCCTGACCCGCTAAGAGACAGAGCACTGGCTTGGGTGACACAGACACAATTCCTGCTCTCCACCGAGTCATAGTGCATGACGGTAAGGCAACCAGGTTCTCAAGAAAACAAAGATGTGCTCTGGACAAGTCTTGAGAGAAGCCTGACTGAGAAGACTCCATGGATCCCCAGCTCTGCCCAACTGGGGGACCCCACCCACAGCACCACCCCCTCACAGCCCTCAGAAGCCACTGGTGTCGCTAGGGTGGGGACATACCCCACTTGGCTTCCCTAAGCCCAACCGAAATAGACTCAGCTCTGCAACGCAACTCTGCTGAACTGTGACAGAACACAGGAGACTGAAAAACTGAGCACAGGACTCTCACTCCCCACAGGAATCCGGCGCTCTCCCCTCCCACACACCAGCTCCCTCTGGCAGCTTCCAACCTGGGACCTTTGTTTCTGGCCTTTCTTCTCCCAGGATGCATCATCTTGCTGCCCAGAGTCTTGGTTCTTCAAACTTCAAGACTAGCATAATCCCACTGGTCCGCGAGCCCCCTGCAGAGCCCACGTCCTCTGCAGTTCCCACTCACAGAATCACGGTAGGCAGGAGATATGGTCTCCACTTGACAGAACCCACACCTTCCATACAGGGAGTGGCCTGCTCCCCCAAAAGGTCACACTGTCCCAGAGCCTTAGCAATACCAGTTCTGGAAGAAAGAAATGAAGGGGGAAAATGTGCTTCCCTTCTAGGCGCCCCGCTCCACCTACAGCAGATCAAGGCAAAGCTGGTGAAAGGCCACGCAGGGAAAAACTGCTTCGGGGAGGAGCTGACGTTTGCTCGCGCCTTCGCTGGATCCAAACACAATTTCTACAGACAGGAAATGCGAAAAGTGGGCAAACAAGGAGCAATGGAGATACGGACAGAGAAAGAGTACAGTGCATCTAAGGATCCGAAGGAAGGGGGAAACCCAAGCAGAGGAAGGGGAAGGAGCAAAGCTGTAATGTCCCGGAACACCAGAGTGCGACCACGGCACTCACACGGGCGACGTCCACACTTCTGCCAACCAGCAGCCTTGAGGAGCCGGGCCAGGGACACACACAGTGGGGGTGCTCCGGGAGGGCACAGGCGTTCACGTCAACCCCCGGGAGGGGAGAGAACAGATGAGGTCACCGGGACTGTCCAGGGGAAGCTGGGTTTTCCTCAGAAGAAGAAAGCCCCTAGGACACCAACTTAGGAGGGAGGCAAGTGAAGGACACACAGTATGAGTGACCGAGGGAGGAGGAAAGCCCGAAGGCTCGGTGTCAAGAGACTGAGCCAGAAGAAAGCCCAGGGACAGTCGCTCCCAGGCAGAAGTGGTGCCAGCTCCTCCCAACCCACGCTCCCCAACTCACTTGTCCTCTGAAGGTGCTGAAGGCCGAACCGTGCCACCCGCCCTGGGAAAGCCCTGAATGCTGTCTGCCACGGCTCTCACCCTAGCCTGGCAGGAAGGTCGCCCGGAACTGGCCCTTACAGACACCATCCATCCTGAGCTGCTCCCACAGAGACAACGTCGTAGCCAAACCCACACGCACTCTTTCCACAACATCACCCTACCCTCTCCCGCCCTTCTTTCATTCCTGTCGTTCCACCTGTGGCAATGCCTTTCCTTCTGGGCGATCTTGCCAGCTGAAGTTGGGAGCACGCTCCCTTCAGTCTGTCTTATGACTCATCGTGGTGGGGACAGGCACAGCCAGATGGACAAGCCTTTCCTCCCTGCTTAGACATGGTCAGCTGACGGCAATAGCCAAGATGTGAGAAAGCACAGATACATACAACATTGCGAGCTGGGATTAGGCTGGACAGCCATAGGAATCTGTGTGTTTGCTACGGCCCCCAGCAGCTATTAAAAAGCCCCGCGGTCTCCTCTCTGGGTCTTCACTCCTCCCTGGGTGGAAGAAGACTGTCTGGCATTTGCTGTAGCTCCTCCGGCTATAGCCTAGAGAAATCAGAGCCTCCTCCCGAGCACTCGGAGGTCTCCCCAGGCGAGGTCCCATATCAGAATTAATAAAAGCAAGTGTGACTGCGTCGCTTTGGGCTCTGACACAGCCTGGGAATCCTCATCAAACACACACCCGCGTGGGAGAAGAGGTCACCATGGATATTCCAGTGCTAACACTCGAACGCTAATAACTTTACCATGTAGATTAATTTTAAATGTCAGATCATGTTGCTGTGTAAATCTAAGGAGTCCTGGAAATCAGGTACACCTCGGGCGTCCTGATGACCCCACTACGCTCCCTGTTTGATCACTACCGGAGTGGGCTGGGTGAGGAGAGAGAAGGGCACTTGTTAACAGTCCCCACCCCTGCAATACAAACACGGGGACCAAACACATCTGAGCCCATCCACTGCTTAGTTTTTCAACCGGGAAAGTGGCCGAGCTGACGGTAATGAGACTGTACACTGGGCGAGGTCTCAGAGACTCCTGCAGCAGGTTCCAAGCCCACACAAACGTGCATGACTTGGTTAGAAGGCCCGGCAAACAGCATTTGTAGTGGAAACACCGGTAACCCACGGCTGCGATCCTGCCTGCGGTGCAGGTTACTGGGGGGAGCTCTGCGTGGGGAGGGGGCAGGAATAAAAATGGGCAGCCCGAGCCCAGGAAAAGGCCTGAAAGGAAAAGGGATGCGAGGCAGAGCTTCAGAGAGACAGGGAGGAAGGAACAGATGCTACATGCAAAACCCACCCGGGCTGCCAAGATCACAATTAAAAATTCACATATTTTGGACTGAAATTCTCATATTTTAAGAGAACTTGGGCAAAACCCTCCTCCCACCACTATTAGCATTGCAAAGCCAGCAGTCAAGACAGACCCAAATTATCATCCATTTTGCAAAAAGGATGAAAATTGTATAGCATAGAGGCCAAAATTCTTCCATGAAAACAATCATTAGAGTACACCTGGCAATCCTTGGACCTGCCGCACCCTCAGCCTCCAAGAACCAGAGACACAGAAGTCCTTCACACAGGAGCCCTGGGAGGCTAGCAGTCACCAGCAGCTCTCGGGACACCTTCCTGGGGTAGAAACCACCTTTCCACAGCTCTACGAGCACACTGAGTTCAAAAGGCGCTAAGACCGGGACGCAGGGATTGAAGAGCACGCATGTAGTGGGCACCTCTCAACCCACATCCCGAGCCGGACACATCCAGACTGCACACCTGTTTTCCAAGTCATCAAATATAGCAGGAGAAAGGGAAACAGATGGGGCCAAGAGCCAAAGGAAAAGGAAACCCTCACTAGCAAGACCAGGACGGAAACAGCTTGACACTCAGCCAGTCTCTACTGAAGGACCCCTCAAAGCTGCAGGTCCCATCACCAAAACAAAGCACAAACACATGTCCCTGCCTCTTCCCTTCTGTCACGCTCCCTACTCTGACCTTGTTTCTCAGGCCTCCCAGAGGACGTCCATAAAAACCCATCTCATTAAGCCCCTCAAGTGGCCCCACTGCAAGCGAATTAACATCTTGCCCCAGCCAGGCTCTGTCGGGGGCAGGACCAGGTGGCAGGTTGGCATTGAAAAGGTGAAAGGCAATGAGGGGGAATCGGCTACCCTAATAATAAAAACACATTTAATCATACAAATATTCTATTTATTCAAGGAATGTAAACACAAGCACAATGCTAACCTAAGTGGATTCTGAATTCCAGGCAGCGTGTCCTAAGGGCTAACTGGAGTCTTTTTCTTATCAGATTGAAGGAGATAGATGGGCCTTAGCAATGTTCGGGTACCTGAAGCAAAGGATCAGAGCTGTTGGGACAGTGTCAGGATTGTTGCTGGCTTGCAGGCATCCTAAAGAGGGAGCTGAAGATGCAGGACAGTGTAGGCCTTCTCAGGGCTGGCTCTAAACTCGCAGGCTTCCCTGCTATAAAACGCAGCCACACCTCTTGATCTCGCATGCCTCCTGGAAAATTGTACAATATCTAGTCTGTAGGCTTGTTGGGAGACTTCAATGAGTTAATCTATACAGAGCATTTAGTCCATTGCTCTAAGCCTTGGTAGTTCTACCCAGCCCACTCTGGTAGTTCTTTACGTTTCTTAGAAGTAGGAAGAGATCAATTTTGAAAGGCAGAAACCTGCTTGAGGCTGCGTGGTGAGCTGGGGACAGAACTAGCACCCTACATGTGGGTTCAGGTTTCCCATCTAAGCTCCTTCCCTGTGCTGCAGTGGTGATGGCAGAAACAACATCACATCAGGAGCCAGAAAGTCACAAGCCTCACTGGGCCACTGGCACCAGTCACGTGCCTCTATGTGGAGCCTTTGGGGATGTTATAGGTGATCGCTCTGATAAATAACATCGCATAATCTGAGGCTGCGCTCCAGACAGCATCTTGGAAACCAGGAAGAGAAAAAGAGGGCGAGGATGGCAAGAATTCTGAGCAAAGCCCAACCTCTGGGCACTGCCAAGCTTCTCCCTTACTTGTCTTGAATCACTCTGTGTCAGAAACAGCGGACACGGGAATCCCAAATCCCAGGGCCCGTAGTCCAGGTGCTTCAGGTTCTACAGTGCAAGGTTTTCTTATCTAAAGTGCGCACCTCAGGCATGCCACAGTGCTCAGGCGTGACTCAAAGATAACAGCAGCAGACTTTGCTGACCTCAGCCCTGAACAAAAGCTTTCTTCTGTCCAGGCAGGACCATAAATGCCTGAGAACAATCACACAATGCCCAAGCACAGTTTAATGGAGGCCTCAACTTTTCCGTTGGCTTCCCAACCTTAGAACTAGTGCTGGATAATGTTCTCTAGAGTTCCCTAGAGTAACTCTGGGTTCAAGGGTGAGTGGACTCACCCTAGGACTTGCAGAACCAGTTTAGAGGGAGAATATAGAGGCCTATGGGAATCTTTAGCAAGTCAGGAGCTGGCCACTTACCAGAAAGACAGAAGTCCTCATCCATTTCTCTGGATTCTACTCAGAGAACATAAAGGAAGTTCTCAGAAGTTAGGGTCACCGATCCACAGATGACCCTAGTAGACATGAGTCCAAGTAGAAACAGATAAGACAATAGATGTCGAGTATGCTTCTTACTTTTCTCATTGCCGAGACAAAATACCAGACATCCAAAGTTAAAGAAGGAAATGTTTCTTGTAGCTCAACAGTTTGTAGAGGTTTCGGCTCACAGCTGGCAGCTCCAAGGTGGACTGGCGTGGCAGAGGGGCATCGCAGAGGAGAAACAGTTTATGGTGGGCGGAAGGCAGCAGTCACAAAGCAGCAGCAGTAGCAGAGGCTCCTTCTGCTCCCTGCATTCCATCCAGGCTACACTCCCCCAGGGAGGGCAGCACTCACACCCCAGGAGGCCTTCCCACTACCCACACTGATAACTACGGCAACCCGATCAGGGGACCCCCGATCCCAGCATCACACAGTCCTAGCAGCACGTGCTCTAGATGTAGCCACCTCTAAAAAGCTCCTCCTATGATATGAGGTTTTGGGGGGACATTTAAACACCAGCCATGACAGTGTGCTGTGCTATTTCACAGCCTACACAAAAATCTATACGATGACCATGTCTGTCATGGAGGAACATACAGCAGCTCAGACTCCAGTCTGTGCCCCCCTCCTGAGCAGGCACTCATCTGGCAAAAGCAGCTCAGGTATGAAGCATGTCCATCTTCACTGACCAGCACAGAAGTACAGTTCCAAAAAGGGCAGATCACACCTTGCACAGAAGAGACTCCAGGAACACCAACTTCCTTGGCCAAAAATTAGTACACAGGACCTGGGAGGAAGTGCAGAAATAGGAACAAAGAATTTTCTCCAGGTCAAAATATTAACCCTCTGCTGATCCGATGAGAATAGCACAGGGATGCCCCCGGAGAAATGGAATCAGGACACAGGGCACTGTCATTTGCTACACTAATCTTGCCAGAATGGAGCCTCGTTGGAGAAACCACTTCAGCATGGTGGATTTCTGTCTGAGAATCTCCTGTTACACACTCACTAGTCACTGCTTACACACTGCACACACATGAAACGCTGAGACTGCCTGGAGAAATCCTCCTCTCCTCTGCTGCATGCCTAACACACCGTGAGTGGAGACTGTGCGATTTCTAGTCCACTTCTGTCTGAGCAAACATGCTAGCTTCCAGGGCATGCTTGGGAGCTGGGGACAAGCGGGCCTTAAAGCCCTGAGCTGCTTGTGCTATTCCCAAACAATCAGAGCCTCATCCCTCTTAAATACCTTCTCCCAAAAGCCTCAGGCAGGAAAGTCCAGGGAGGTTTGGTTTCTCGGCCTGAGACTGAATGTGCCAGCATTGGAGGCTTTGTCTCTGCTGCTCCTCGAGACTGTGAGTGCGTGCACATGCTCCAGCCCCACAGCTTGGTCTCCAGGGTCTGCCTTTGCCCCTGAACCTGGGCTGTGAGCTTAATGCTCTCCATGTCTGGTCATTTCTGTGATCCTGGCCATGACTTTCCAGGTCTGGAGCTTGTCTATATATAATTAACTACCTGTCCCTAGAATTTTGAGTGTTTGATTATACTTAGGGCCGTTTC